CCACATGTGCTATTAAAAGACTACTTTATTCTCTTCCAAGTCGATTCATCATTCATCCATTCATCTTGTTTATTTTTCATATAACGGGCATGGCGAAGGCGACGGTTTACACTCGTGTTCTTGTTGATTACATTCATAACATCTCGCGATGTGGCAGAACCAGCATGTACTTGTCATTCCGCAACTCTTTCTGCATTTACCACATATATGTTGATCATTACAAACATGTGTATTCTCGCATGTAGGAGATTCCTTTACAGTTTGAGATGGGTCGGAATTACCTACACATACATTATTGCGTGCAATACTATAGGATGTTAGGCCGTAATGAGTCCGCTTGAGGTAAGGGAGTGTCTGGCTCACTATTTCTCTCACATACTATTGGATCTATTTTATCTGATTCAATATCCAATTCCACCTTGGTTATCATAGGTTTCAGTCTTGATATAATTTTCTGAGTATCAATAAAAACCGCAAACTTTTGAAATCCATGGTCTTGTAAACAATGATACCTGGATACCTCCTCCTTCTTCTTCAGGGACGAGATTTCCTCCCTCTGAACCGATGTAAACTTACTTTTTGGATCTTGGAGTAAATGTTCTCTCACGTATTCCATCTCACACTCTTTAATAATCAGCTCAAGATATGTGCAAAAGTCTGATGACGTAATTCTTTCTGATTTCTATAATTCAGGCAGGATATAAACAGCCAGTGAAAATATAAGTGTTGTCGTTTCTGTGACATCTGTTGCTCCAAATACGAGACGCATATCAGTACAGTCTTTATCAAAGAGATCGTCAAGCCATTTGGTACTGACTTCAACTTCTGTTGTATTCTCTACAGATCTTAAAAGAAACTGACTTAGTTTGTGTGTGATATCAGAGAAACCTTTTCCCAGCGATGGCTTGCTGTCACATTCTTCCTGATTGGATCTTGCAATGGTGAAAAGTGCATGGGAATAAAAGTTTGTCGACTTTTCATTGTAACGACGCTTCTTCTCATGCTGTAGTAGAATATATTTCAGTGTTCTCAGTTCAATATGATAACCGTCTATTCTTGAAGCTCGCAAATGAGGTTTCTCATAGTATGATTTTATCCAGCGATGTCCCATGTCCAATGCCATGAAGAAGCTGTCCTCTGAATAAGGCAGTTCAGGTATATTGGTTATCTTCAGACAGAATGTCAGGTCTATGTCTGTTACACACAATGGTCCCCACACCCTGAAGCGAAGGCTGGGTCCGTGCGCTCTTTTGTCCATAATGACGTCATGCTTTCGCAGTTGAATTGATTCTACGGGCAGCTCTTTTTCCAGATCTGTAATACCCCTGTGGGTTATGGCACCCTCCATGTGTAGTTGTGATAAACATTCTGCAACAGCTCCTCGAATGATCGAATGAATTATATACCCTGTTTCTATGAGTGCAGTGTTTGGTTTTACCATCTCGGGGTACTCTTTGATGAGGTGTAATACATCAGGATGTTGTTCACTGGATAGTTTTACGTCTAATTTACCAGGTGTGTAATACTTAGCTGTACTCTCACTGGGATATACCACTACATATCTAGAGAGAGCCATTGGGAGCACAAAATCACATTCATGAGGAGTTATTATTTTAGTCCTGTTGGACATGCTTCCATTAAGCAGAACATCATTCACTGCAAACTGTGGGTACATTCCGTTGAATTTATCAATGATTGGTTGTATAACTCGAGTCTTGATATACTCTATATGTCCATCAAGTTCCACCGTGTTATGTTTCAGTTTAGCCAAGTTGTGTATTTCTAATTGTTGTTCCTCGTGTTCAGAGAGAGTGCCCTTGATTAAGGGGATTGTTTTTATAGGAGGACCTCGCCATCTTGTATGGACATCAGGACTGCTACTTGTACTGGCTTCCATGGCTCATGGTCAAAATATCCGATTTGGCACACAAACTATGCTGTTCAGGATGAATAATTCAATCGCAATAATCAATTGCCCATGGAGCGTCATCATCATCCATTAGTAGGATTTGGTTCGAAGAGGAACGCAATACCAGGAAGGTGTATGCACCTGTGTGAAATTCACTATGACGTCTGTTCGTGTAGAATTTTTCGTTCAGGGCCCCAGTTGCTTGCTCCTTGATTGGAGACATATAGTTTTATTGTAATATTTCACATAAGCCATTAGCACAGGATTTTCATTCTGTATTTTCATTAACTATCATGTACATTGACAGGCCGGGTGTAGCTCTTAGAGCTGACACGACATCATTCTCAAAATTCATTTCGTTCGTTGCGTACCTTCATTGCACTGGACGAAAGCCTCGGAGATTGACACGAATTCGTTGTCAACCCGTCATATCTCATTCTTACACGCGTGTACATCGGAAACTACGACCGTCGTATGAGGTCCAAACAAGGGCGTTACAATACCCGGGAATTTATCGGTTCGTGCAGTACTTGTTTGTGATAGCGCCCTCTGTAGGTCACTGTGCTTATAGCCTACAGTAATACGGGGTAGGATATCGGGAATTCGGTCAGTTTCTATCCGTCGATTTCGCTATGAATTGAAGCAAGTGTGACCACTTTATCCACTTAAACAATTTGATAATTGATTAAATCTTTAAACAAAATCGATAAACACGTTATACACTTCCTATCTCCTTAGAAATTAGCATGTATTTATGGATTGTGTTTTCGAACAAGGCTCGACCCATACCAATAGGGAAATCCTTATGCTAATTAGTATGACGTCATATTTTCCTGGGGAATCCTAGATTTCAAAGCCTCAGTCAGTTATTGTGTCAAATGTAAACGCTCTTTTGCAGACAGAAAATTGACAGATTAGCTTTTAACTTTCAGCTTTGATGTTTAAATATTCTGTATTTCTACCGGACTTCTTGCTGAATATCATATAATGTTATAACTTGATTTGGACAATTGCCTGATTGATCATTCTGAAATTTTGATTGTGATTCATGATTGATTGGCAAGAAAAATAATTCCTATTGTTTTCCAGCGAAGTCAAAATGTTACAGCATGAGTTATAATGTCGAGTTTGCATCATGTTAAATTCTGCTAGTGATTAGAAGTCCATGCACAAGCATACACATAAGAGACAAACACACCCAGGCTCCAGGCCGTGGATGGAAATATAAAACTATTTAAGGCACAAACTGGTATTAATAGACCGATATGTAGTGTCTGCCATGTATTGAAGGTAAACCAATCTGCATTATTAATGTTTCTACTATCAATACATGGATTGTGCAATAGAAAAGCAATGGCACAATCAAAAATGTGCATATCAATCGTGAATATCTCTCCGTGCAAAGCTTATTTCCAACAGAATCGTGTCAACATATGTGTCTGAGTAACAGTTATACATTATAAGATCGCAAACTCTTACCAATTATCAGCCAAATGGCTCATTTTCAACGAAATGTTCTTAAGACAACAGCCCTGGGTCGCGCCTGAGACCAAAAACTACTTCAAATAGCCCTCCCCTAATTATATTGGATAATCACATTTATGCGTGCGCGCGCAGCTCATCCACTGAACGAAACGCCACTTCCCGCTGAAATCACCGGGTATTGATCTTTCCCTTGGTCCAAATATATGTAACCTTCATCGATTATACGCCTTTTGCAGTATCTCGATGCCTGGAAAGTCAGCATAACCTGTTCGGTTTATTAAATCAATACACCAAGTAAAACATATTTTAGCGACAGCCTCTTTTTACTGCAATGAATAAAGCTTTAAAATGAAAGAGCATTTCTTCAAAGGTAACTTTTGAATACATATATTAAATAGGATTTTATTTGTACCGATGTTCTTTTAGGGCCAAACGTATACAATTTTCAATAACAGTAAAAATAGCAATAAGTAAAGAAAATAGAATTACATTCTTAAAATGACATATACGATGTTACTTTGATATAAGAATCCTTTCTCTACCAATCATTAGATAATTTATCACGTCAGCAGATTCTTTTTATATGTTCCCCTCACTCGTCAATAGAAAAATTGTCTTTTGAGAGTCATTCATGTTTTTAAAATTACTACACGGGTTTTCAAGTTTTTCAATATAAGATTTTCTGATATATTCCAATTGTCTACATTTGAATAAAAAGTGTGTTTCATCATCTTTTATAACCGCGTCCTTACATGTTTTACCAAATCGATTATTTAAATCAGTAATGGGTCTTGTATATTGGCCTCTCTCTATCTCTAGATTGTGGGCGCTAATACGTAATCTAGTAAGATGATTTGAAAATGTTGTTTCTGATAGGTAGTGTTCAAATCCAAAGTGCGTTTTTAGTTCTTTAAATAATCTAAGTTTCCTCTCATTCCCATTTATACGATTCTTCCAATATACTTGAATTTTAGTTCTCTAAATAATGTAAATCTAAGTTTCCCCTCATTCCCATTTATACGATTCTTCCAATATACTTGAATTTAGTTCTTTAAATAATCTAAGTTTCCCCTCATTCCCATTTATACGATTCTTCCAATATACTTGAATTTCTTTTTGACTTTAATAGCAAGCTTATTTGTACTCTTCTCTATGTTTACCTTGTCTTCAAGATTTTATTCATCGGCCATTTTTATTTTAATATGGCACAGTATATTTTTGAGTTGTTTGTGCCATGTAAATGTGTTGTTTGTTAAATGAAATGTTTTACTCATAATCAATGAATCGTTTAGTAAACTCCCATTTGTACTCAACTCTAAATGACCGAGGTATTTAATTTGTCTTTTTATAATATCAACTACCTGTACCAAAGGTATTCTTCCCAATTCTCCTCTTACTGCCATGTTAGTGGCTTTTCTATGAATCCCAAGAACATATTTTTGAAACCGAATATGATTGTTTTCAATTAAAGCGCTTTGATGAAGACGGGTTTGATAAGCTGATCATACAATTTCAATTTCAGTGAAGATTTCATCTCTGTGCCGCTTAATGTCAATCGATAAACTTTAAACATGGCTTTATTTTCTTTTTGTTTTATGTTTTGCTGGGCCGGTTTAAAAGATCCAGAAGCACTTAAGACAATTCCTAAATATGTATAATTTTGAACATTTTGTATATTCTTACCATTTATTTGAAATCGTTCTTGACAAATTTTGCCACATTTCAAGAATTTTATGATCTTTGTTTTATCAATGTTAATTTCAAGTTTCCAGCCATTACAGAAGGATTCAAAAAGCAAACAAAACATATTTCACTTCCACATAGAATTAATTCATCGACAATACCCACATTACTGATTGTGTTCCAAAAGAATATAGGTATGTTTAGCAGTGATATCCACTGATGTGTGGTTATTTAAAATGTAAGAATTCACTAGCTACAGATAAATGTTTGTCCAAGCTTTTCTCAAGATATTTATTTATTTTTGAAGTTTGTTATGATGATCCTTGTCATGTCGTTTTGTCAACAAAGCCCTCGTCATCGATTTAAATTCTGGAAATAAAAGTACAATACTAGATATAGTAATTAAGGCATGATAAACAATTTTATTGCTTAAATCAATTACATTTACGGGGATATATTCACATACAGGATTTTATTCACACAATCAGGGACGGATCTGAAAATTAACAAGTTTAAAAAATTATTTTGAAAATGACCCATTTCCTTGGCTTGACGTTTTGTCCTAAAATTAGAAAGAAGGCCCAATAATTCCCAGCAAGGCCCATTTAGTGGGGTCCTAAAAAATGTCGCCCTTAAAATAAAATGTCAAAGAAGTCCATCTAAAACATTAAATTAATTTTGAAACAATAGGCCCTAATGTCCAATTATAATCATTAAAACTATGAAACAAATATTTAATTCTGTTGAGGTGAATACCAGTGAATCTTTCACAAGTGATATCCACGAAGCCCAAAGTGGTAGTGGAATATTATCTTGTGGAAGTGCCACAGGTTTTCACTGGAAATTTTATTCTATTTATTTATTCATTTATTTATTTATTATCATATTCATGGAAATAAATATTTGATTTATTATTCACTATTATATTCCTAACTCACATTTAATGGAAAAACAAACCATTATGGTGTAATTAATCATAGCAATGTAATACCGGGGGTATATACAATCGAAATTACACTCAACTGGTCGTGACTGGTGAATATAATATCACGTCATATCATGTCACGTGTAGGGCATGGACCAATCAGAAAGATAGAAATATAACAGTGATATAATAAATATGGATATTGTATTGTTGTATATCATTGATAAGGTTGTAACAGAAACTGTTACGCGGTAAACACGATACAAAAATATGCCATATTCCGCAACGAATATGGCATATTCACTTGCGGTGTATGACAGATTCACCTGCGGTATATGGCATACACACTAACCAATGAGAACGTGATACGGAAGTACGCAATTGTCAATTGCATCGATTGAACGAACAAATAAAACTTTATAAATTATTATAATGATTACTGCATCGACAATACAGTTTATCGAATTTATCAATGTATAATGCAGAAGAATCACTCACCAATCTCACGTAATAAACTTCCCCAATCAATCCAGGATTCATTATATTAGTACTCGACGCACTAACAATATTGGTAATCCAGCGTAGTTTTACATTTAGAGTAGATTATCGCAACCAATCAAACCAAGTCTTTCTGTATCACGTTTTCACCTGCGGAATATGTCATATTCACCTGCTGTATATGGCATATTCCGCTGACATATTCTGCGGGCGAGTATCGGGTTTTCACTGAAATCAATGTATCGCATATTCACTGCGGAATATCGCATACTCACCTGCGGAATATTCCACATACCGCAGGTGAGTATGGCATATTCACCCGTATCACAAATACCGCACAACCATGAATGTATGCCATATTCCGCGTAACAGAAACTATAGTAAAATCAATATTGGCTAATTGAGAAAATGTAGGTATCAAAATGTCTGATATTACTCACAATCAATTTCCTCTCCATTTGTTCACTGCGTTCATTAGAAGCACCATCTGTTTCCATGTTAATTGAGGCTCGGTATCTTCTTCTTTTTCTTCATAGCCATCAAGAGACCCACTTGGAGTATTTTGCCCATTTTGCGCATCTCCTTGCTCTTGCGCTTTTGTTCTTCTTGTCAGGTCATTTTCATTGGCGCTACCTTGAGTATCGCTGGCTTTCCATTTATTCACTGCATTCATCAAAAGTAGCTTCTGTCGCCATGACAATTTAGGCTCAGCATCTTGGCCATTTTGCGCATCTTCTTGCACGTTTGTTCTTCTTGTCAGATCATTTTCATTGGAGCTACCTTGAGTATCGCTGGCTTTCCATTTATTCACTGCATTCATCAAAAGTAGCTTCTGTCGCCATGACAATTTAGGCTCAGCATCTTGGCCATTTTGCGCATCTTCTTGCACGTTTGTTCTTCTTGTCAGATTATTTTCATTGGAGCTACTTTGAGTATCGCTAGCTTTCCATTTGCTCATTGCATTCATCAGAAGCACCTTTTGTCTCCATGACAATTTAGGCTCAGCATCTTGGCCATTTTGCGCATCTTCTTGCACGTTTGTTCTTCTTGTCAGATCATTTTCATTGGAGCTACCTTGAGTATTGCTGGCTTTCCATTTGTTCACTGCACTCATCAGAAGAAGCTTCTGTCGCCATGACAATTTAGGTTCAGCATCTTGGCCATTTTGCGCATCTTCTTGCTCTTGTTGCGCGTTTGTTCTTCTTGTCGGGTCATTTTCATTGGAGCTACCTTGAGTATCGCTGGCTTTCCATTTGTTCACTGCATTCATCAGAAGTAGCTTCTGTCGCCATGACAATTTAGGTTCAGCATCTGTTTGAGTATCTTCATCAATCTGCGTCTCCCCTTGTATTCGAATAGCTCTTTCCAATTCATCAAGATCTGTTCGGAAATAACTCATTGCGCTCATTTCCCCTGCAAGAGCCAGTACCAACACGGCATATAACATCGCATTGAAATTCCTCATTTTGTTGAACGTCTTGTCGAAAACAAATTGAAACGTTCTGATATATGGGCACGTCTTTACAACATGAGAAGCTGTGGGTCAATGAGGTCTTTATTTTAAACCTTTAATGCGTTTATCCGACTTGTATAAAATTTGAATCAAAAAATTTGAAAAATGCAAAATATGATGAAATAGACGAAATCGACAAGAACATAGTGAACGGACACATATGTTCAATTTTATGGAACTGCGAGAAAATAAGATATGTTTCATAATTTCTTTAGGAAATGATACAAAAAGCGCAAAAAGAGTGAAATTTTAAGTAAGGGCTACAACGCTTTATGTTAAAATAAGCATGAGGAATTCCATTTAAAATGGTAGAGATTAAATCATCCAATCCACCTTTTAATCTCTACACTGGAATTTGCTGGATATATTCGTGAAGCTTCTTCTTAAGGTCACAAAGCTGCTTTCGTTCAGGGTGATATTTCTTTTTGCTTTTTTCCCCAGCAGGCTGCTCATTATCTTTCTCAGTTTCCCCCAGATAGCACAAAGACGTCGGGCCAACGTCGCTATTGGTGGCCATTGGTTGGCATGGTCGCAGTTGGCAAATTGAAGTTGGGCCAACATTGGCCCGTCGTTGGCTGCCGCTAATACCAGGGAGCCAACAATCCCAGATAGCACAACTCTGATGGGCCAACGTTGGCCCAACAATTACGTATCTGTTGGTCCAACGTTGGCTGAGATGGTTGGCCCACCGTCGATATGTCCATTGGCCCACCGAAGGAAAATATGGTTGGACCAACGTTGGTCCATCAGAGTTGTGCTATCTGGGCCGGCTTTGTATAAAAAACCTCCTACCCACGCACCCTCTTACCCACGTACGTGGGTCCTGACCCAGTCTTTAAAGAGTTAAATCTTTAACATTTTTTAAACATTATTCTATCTCAATGTATGCTTAATTATGGATGAATTTATGTACCCATATGCCTTTATTTCTAGATCGGACATCTGTCTCGTCATAAAATAAAGCCGGCATTGCACGATAATGTTCATTTGAGCTATTTGAGTGTTGTTTTTGATATATCGAAGCGATTTTTTGTTGATCGGGTCTTACAGTGTACAACCAATCTATTGCTTGGCGCAAATTCGACCAAGCACATATATTTAGTATTTTTGTCAGTCATACTTTTAATAGTCCTATACCTTTTAATTTACCATAATGTATATAGAATTTTGTATAAATGACATTTACAATCTGCATGAGGTGACCATTGGTTGGCATGGTCGCAGTTGGCAAATTGAAGTTGGGCCATAATGTATATAGAATTTTGTATAAATGACATTTACAATCTGCATGAGGTAACAGGAGGCACGGATTGCACTGAACGAAGGCTAGGAGATTGCTAATCAGCACTGATGTGTTATACAGGTAAGACTGCCCGATCAACAAAAAACATTTCGACATATCAAAAACATAAATCAAATAGCTCAAAAATAATGAACATTTATGCAATTCCGGCTTTATTTTATTTTACTAGAGAGATGTCAGACCTATAAATAAAGGCATATGGATGCATAAATTCATCTATAATTCAGGATAAACTGAGATTGAATAATGTTTTAAACATTTAAAAATTTAACTCTTTAAAGACTGGTTCAGGACCCACGTACGTGGGTACGAGGGTACGTGGGTAGGAGGTTTTTTATACAAAGCCATCTGGGCCGGTTCTTCATTGGACTCTAAGTCTAAGGTGACATCTAATTCCGTTCGCCCATTACAGATGCGCTGGTCTTTTGAATCGAGGTACTCTCGCATGTCCTTCAATAAAAGGTCAGTGCTAGAATTCTCGAAACATTTTTCATCTCAGAATCCCGGGACGATGCTGCAAACAGACACAGAAATGGGAATGTGGCGTGACATCCACTCCAATTTTGTGGAATCAGAGGGCGTGTCATCCTTGGATAACATAGCTTCAAAGTCAAAGCATATGAAGAACGGGAAAGAACGATTTCTCTTGGGGACCATGAAACCTCGGATATCAAGTTTGTTCGAATAAATTAGGCTCTACGCTGTAATAACCTCCCACGTATTTATGAGTAGAGGCGGTCCTGCACCTATTTTTGTGCCTTTTTTCCATACTTCTGTTGGACAGTTTATCGCAGTTCCTGCATCGGTATTTGGGAGAACACACATGTGGCGAGATCTTTAATATAACTGAGATGTTTTTCAAATTGATTGAGATTCATAGTATCCTTATGTTTGTTGGTGCTTATATATTCACGCATAACCTCCTTTCTTTCGTCAATAGTGTAAATATTGACATTTATTTTAAAGGTGTCCTCAAATAAAGGTATTTCCTTTTTAAGAACGCCATATAGTCTCTGTTTTTCCGTGATCTCTTTCCAAGAAAGTTTAGTAACATCTTTCACGTTATGATAGGCCAGGCATCTGAAGGCGCAATAATTGTCCTTGTAAAACTTTCCCGTAGCATAGTGTGTTACGCGGTAAACACGATACAAAAATATGTCATATTCCGCAACGAATATGGCATATTCACTTGCGGTGTATGACAGATTCACTTGCGGTATATGGCATACACACTAACCAATGAGAACGTGATACGGAAGTACGCAATTGTCAGTTGCATCGATTGAACGAACAAGTAAATCGTTATAAATTATTATAATGATTACTGAATCAACAGTACTGTGTATCGAATATATTAACTTAGCAGAAGTATCAGTCACCAATCTCGCGTAATAAACTAACTCAATCAATCCAGGATTCATATATTAGTACTCGACGCACTAATTATATTGGTAATCCAGCGTAGATTTACATTTAGAGTCGATTCTCGCAACCAATCAAATCAAGGCTTTTTGTATCACGTTTTCACCTGCGGTATATGTCATATTCACCTGCGGTATATGGCATATTCCGCAAGTGAGTATGACATATTCCGCAGGTGAGTATCGGGTATTCACTGAAATCGATGTATCGCATATTCACTGCGGAATATCGCATACTCACCTGCGGAATATGCCATATACCGCAGGTGAGTATGGCATATTCACCCGTATCACAAATACCGCGCAACCATGAATGTATGCCATATACCGCGTAACATAGTGCTTATTAAGAGAGACTATGGCTTTATTCCGTTTGATATGTAATTCGTGAAACAGCAGCGCCCAATGGAAAATCGAAGCTCGTGATGGACCATCTCACATTCACCAGACGATAGGGCAGCCAATTTGTATCGGGTCTTTGGTTAAATAAAACGTTGACCACATCAATTTCTCGAAGTTTTTCAATCGTGTCGTCAATGTCATCTCTGTCAGAAAATAGAATGGGGGACGCGAAAAAGACAGAGTCATTGTTAAGAGCATAAAAGTAACGCAACTCTCCCGTTTCCCTGTGGGATAGAACCATTCCAAATCTCAAATTCAATTTGAGCGCATTGGTCTCAGTTCAGTGAATTTCCTCCAATTGGTTCAGAAAATCCGCCATCTTGATCGTTCCATCCCGTTGATGGAAATTGTACTTGTGCAAAATCTTGCCTCTTTTATGGGGAGCGTCGTAAATGATACGATGGTTATCGATGTAAATCTTTTTCAATCGTTCATCTTCTGTATCATTATGAGTTCGTACGGTTCACGTTCCCGTTGTTCATCATCATTGTGGTCACTAGGCTATCCACCTCCATTTGATTTTGATCTGTACCAGAGGCTTGTTCATCCTGTTGTTCACCGTCCTCATCAATTTCCACGGGACTCGAGTCACCCTCTCCAATTTGATTTAATTTATTAGCTTGATTGCGTGAAACAGCTTCATCCATCCCTGAAGTATAAGCCTATGCATTTTCAAAATTCATTTCGTTCGTTGCGTACCTTCACTAAGGCACAGGAGGTACGGATGGCACTGGACGAAAGGCTCGGAGACTGAAGTATATGTAATATCGTCTGCTTGAATTCCACGGCACAATTTTGTGTGACGAGCCAGACTATCTGCACGACTTAAATCGCATGCCACAGTAGTGCTCTTCTTCAAATGAATAGCATTTTCGTGTCTCATTTTCGGTTGTACACTTTACTGAATAATTTACCGCAACACGCACATGAGTGTTTTCCAGGCATGATTGTTTACTCACTGATGGAATGAGTCTTGAAACATAAAACGCAAACGCTTTTTCAGTATTAAAGGCTTTATACATTACATTTACCTACGTACATCGTGTAATATCAGTGTTTGAAAGCATAATCTGGAAAATATTCTACAAAAGACTACGTTTAGAATGGTATCCGGAGTGGGATTGTTCTACAGTTATATTTTGAATTGTTATTTAATACCCTTGCCCAGAGTTAGGCCGAATACATACTCTTATGATTAGTTCTGTGGATCAGTACTATATCTAGTATTTAATGAACAGAGTAGCTAATCACAGAAAATGGTATAGTTTAGCATGCCCGTAGCCAGGTTTTGGTTAGGGGGGCTCGAACCCCCCCCCCCCCCATCCACACACAATGATTTCATGCTTAACCAACTTCGCATTGTGACCACAAGGGTGTAATTAACAAGGCACCAGGGGTGGCCACAGAAACAAGGGAGGAAACCCAAAGATTCCCGCATTTGCACAGAAGAAAACAAGGGCCCAAATTTTGAAAAATGCCTTGTACTCCAGTAAAACCGCTGTAAATTTTCATAAATAAATGAAAAAATTGCACACCAGAGCAAACCTGGTGTAATCAATAGCCATTGGTAAGTAAAACAACATATCAAAAATCTAGAAAAATCTAAGTAGTGGAAAACCTTAAAATCACCATTTATACCCCCTGGGGTAATTTTATGAGGGGGTACTGTGATAAACATTAATAATTCCTGTTATATAACTTCAATCACAATGAAATCTTCAGGGATCATGCACATATATAGTTAGTTGTCACAGCAAGTTTGATATCAATTTGTCAATTGGTTACTATATCAACACAATTTAATTGCTCAAATCTTTAATAGTTCA